TTCCATTTTGGTTGTCGTTTTCTCTTGACTTTTGCTCTTGGCAATGGAGCTTGCTTGACCCCACCGAACTCGTCAACAGGACGAGGATGGAATAAAATGATCATTATTGTCATTGTGGTTTGTCGGGAGATTTTCTCTGTGAACTAAATGAATTTGCCTTTTGTTTGCCACACTCAATTTTGTGGGGAGAAAAAAAAAAAGACTATCAAATGTTGAAATGATGGTATGTTTACCTTTTTGTTTTGTTTTTTGTTTTTCGAAATAGACTCTGCCTAGTGTTTCCCAGATCTGCAATAACTCAGTTTAGAAGAATCTTGTCAACTCATCGACTGAATTGTGCTTCATCTCAGCGCTCTGTTAATGTTCAGTGCTCCCTCTAGCTGAAGCGTTCGACAAGGCGCTGCTAAACTGAGAGAAAATAACCCGCTTTTCTCGGAAGCCTCACAGTAAGTGACTGTGTTTCTAAGGACCTCTCATCCTTTCTGCCTTCTCCCTCAAGTCGAGATCTACTTTGAGTCTTTAAACGGACACTCTGTGGAAAAGACTCGATTGAACTTGAAATAAAAAAGAATAAACATCATTGGGAGGAATGAAACAAACGCTACTAAATGTCTCTTACTGACTTTAAGTATAACAAATCTTTAATGCGTGGAATGTGTCTGGTCAGAGAGTTTTAACAACAAAATAAATGTTCAGAGCTGTCTGTAGTTTTAGTTTTCTCTTTTTTTATGATTAGTTTTGAGATTGCTTCAGTGCCATCATCTTTCATTGATTTGCACCATTAAACCATTAAGAGTTTGTATTCACTTCTGTAGCCGTACTCCAGGATTCGACGAAAACGTTCTGTAGAATAGCTTCATTGTATATGCCACAATCTCGCGGCTGTGCGTCATAGATTTTGGAAATCAAAGAGCAAGAGAGTTTTTAAAAGGAATTCTTAACACGAGCCTCAGGAGACGGGGCTTTTTTTACTTATACTCGCCATTTGAAGACGCTGATACAGTGGCGACTTTTGAGGGGTGATTTGAAATATCTTTCTATTTCATTTCGTTAATTTTTTTTTTTTTTTTTTTCAAAGTGCTAATTGTTTAAACAAGGCCAATGAGGTGTGGTAAGTTTTAAAGAAAAAATACACCTTTTGAGGACAAAAAAAACAACCAATCCTTTTAACTAACATAAACTGTATTAATATTTACTAATGTTAGTTGTTTAGAATGAGCTTTCAGTTTGTTATCCTCTGACTAATTCGCAAATGTTGTGTATAGGAAACGGCAACAGTGTTTTGACGCAAGCATTCTAGATGTACTTTTCTTAAGTATGATTAATGAAAGACTATAGGAGCAATTTTATTTAGTATCAGTTTAAATATTTTTACTTAGAGTAAATGAAGAGACATTAAAGTGTATATTTTACATGCAGATACTTTTTGTGTTGGATTTAAAGAAGATATAGAGTATAATATCTCAGTCTGTGAAGCTCAGTTAGCCACTATCACATTACAAGGAGTTCTCCACGGTTTCTCTGGCGGGAAGACATTCTCATTCGACTTCATTCCATGTTGATTTCCGAATCTTTCAAAAGGAGGCAAGGTTTTTTTTTTTTTTTTGTCCCCCATAAAAGAAGCATGCAAAACCTGCCATGCCTGTAACATTTTTAATTTCATACATAGAATTGTACAGGATTACATCATTTTCAACTGATTATAATGTACAGTATTTAATATAGGCCTATTTTGTTGTATGTGTTGCATATTATTCAAATGGAACAAACTGAGGCCTCTGTTACAAGTGGCAAAGCTTTCTGTGTATAATTTGTCTAATAAACATGTTTTCTACAGTGGTTTTTGTTGTGTTGTCTGTATCATCAGAAATGTCCTGAAGTGCTGTATGTGAAGAGTAACCCTGTTCTACTTTATTCCTTCCACCTCAGGGTGAGCTGATGCTTTGAACACAATGAAGGATGTGGTCAAAGGTTATCCACATTTGCTTTGACTTTGTGAACCAGATTCATGCACTACAGGTCAAAGTGAAAGGCACCACAGCGTTTCAAGTCATGCTCCAGTGCTTGGAGAGTTTGTCGCCACAGGTCTGACCCTGAACCTGCTCTTCCAGATATAGTAGGCCAAGTTCTGTTTATGTCATTTATTTATAGCCTATATTGTTTGATGTTACACTTTTTGCCAAACACCCTGATGCACAAACATGGCATTTTTTCATCTTATAATGATAAAAAGCGTTACACATATAGTGTAGCACCTGAGTAGACTAGCAATTCCAGACAAATAGAAAAGTTGCTGCTTTCAGTTTTTAAGTACAATCAACTTGAATGTTTAAGTCATTTCAACTTAAATTATATTAAACTGACATGAGTTTAATCTTGTGTAATTTAAAAAAAAAAGTTGAAAATGTCTTAACTTATTTTAAAGCAATTGTAAAAACATATGTTGTCAATGTATTGGTCATTTGATTGTTTACAGTGTAGGCCTATGGACAAAAAAAGAGGATAGCTTGTGGTAAATCAAATTAGAGAATTCCATTGGACAGGCTTTCACTCAAATTCAAGGTGTTGAATGTTTTATTGTATGACAAACTGTAGTAAAATGGCTGTTTGCATTTTGATAACTGAGGTGAATTTCATCTATATATGAAGAGTTCAGATGCAAAAGCCTCTAAGTGCCATTTGAAATTTTCTTCTAGAATGATCATTTTTATCAAGCTTGTATATTTAAGTTCAGTGATTTCACTTAATGGCAATGATAATTACCTATTAATTGTTATTTAAGTGAAATTACTGAACTTAAATATACAAGTTTGATAAAAATCATCATTAAAGAAAAACATTTCAAATGGCATTTAGAGGCTTTTTCATCTAAACTCTTCATATTCATTCTAAAAAAAAATGACCACTTGAGCTAGGGTAAATGCATTGCATGGCCACTAGATGTCGTCTTTGATGTCTTTTCAGTAGATTTTTAAAAAGATGCAAATAAGCGTGCACCTGTTCTGATAGGCTATTTAGAAAATCAGAAGTCTTATTTGTTTCATGTATTATGGGAAACACTTAAAAATGGAACGCTTGTGGATTCAGATTCACACTTTGAAATAATTACTGAATGAATGTAATCAAATTATTACAATTCTATCTATGTAACATTATTGTTAGATATATAGGAAATTAGGCTATTTTATTTGTTACACGATTCAAACAATTACTTTAGAAGCTTTCTGTGGCTGAAATTAGTTTTATAATAATAATTAGCCTATTATTATTCGTGTTGGAACCTTGTCTTTCATTGACTTTTATCAAGCACGCGATACCTCTGGGTTTCCCGGGAAACAGGAATGAAGAAAGCAGCACGCAGACTCGATCGCGGTGGAAGCCCCCATCGAGACACATTTTGTGCCCTTTTTCCAAAGAGTTCTTCAGGCGTGTCGAATGGAACATTGAGTCGCTATTGTCCCTGGGACACTTTAATAATCGACGGCAGCAATCCCAACCTGTTGTTTGCTTTAGGACCTATTCCAAGACACACAAGCCGCCTGGATGAGGCTCCAGTTGGGGTGAGCGCAGGCGCCAGTCCGCAAACCTCTGCTCTGCTCTCTATGAATTCATGAATAAATGTAAAAAAGATGAATGTGGACTTTTTAATGCCAGAAAACCGGAATTAAGGCCATGTGCATCACTGCGTTACATATGCCTACTTGTTTCGGTCACTAACCAGGGAACGCAGCTGTAGCCATGCGTCACAAAGTTTGTTTGCACTCTGCACATTTATCCACGTTATATGGTTCAGTCCTGATAAGGTCTTTTCTATAGTTCCACGATATTTAGGCAGTATCCCATTATTTTATTATTGGCTTTTAAAGCCTAATTATTGTAGGCTTGTTACTTTATTGTTTACTTAAAAAGTAGCCTATAGCCTACAATCAAACGAAAATTACCTAATTAGTTACCTACCTAATATTATTAATATTGTTATTAATCTTGCTGCCCCATGCGCTTGCTCTCTTTCTAAAGCTCGTGACAGCAAGGGACTGTCGCGCCTCCAGATCAAGTTTCTGATATTTGGGAAGCTCTTTTGCTAAAAGGGCGTTCCTTAAATCGGATCAAAAGGTTTTTAACTTGTTCAAAAAAGAAACGAAACGCAAGCTGCCACACACATTGCTTGAATGTCTTATGTGCACCAATAGAACGAATTATTTCACTTTATTTAATGTTAATGTTGCATAACTGTTTTTGCACTGAGAGAATTAGCACACAGGTAATATATTGATTATTTATTAATTTATATAATTATTACGCTATAAGCACGATTAGCCTATTATTCGGTAATTTAATAAATAAATACGCATAATTAAATTAGAAAAACATTTGTAAATAACCTTCTAATAGGCCTAGCTTATTACATTTCATTGACTAAAAGATGCAAAATACAAAATGATGCAAGTTTCTTTCATTCCATGGGACAATATGCATGAAAGAATATGCATGAAATGTTTGTCAACGCAGTAGGCAGGTCATGTTTGTTTTTGTTTTTTTTTTTTTGTTTTTTTTTTGGGTTTTTTTCGTATTGAGGTTTGGGCCAAAGCAAGGTGATTTTTGATAATCCCTTTCTCTTTATTTCAGACAGTCTAGAAAACGTTTTTCTTGTTTTTGTTTGTATTTAAAGCCTAGGCTAGGCCTATAGCCTATGTAGCTAATTTCCTAAACGTACGTGTAAGGAGACTCGCCACAAAACTTGAGTAGGCCGTCCTGTGGGACGACCCATTGTGATAATAATTCTGTAGTTAAACAGGCTTGAAGCGCAACATTATAAAAAAAAAAAGAAGAAAGAAAGAAAGTAAGTTTGGGCATAATAACCTCTCTCGGGTTCGCTGCGACTTCTCATTGGTCGCCTACACGCGCCTGCCCCGCGTGCTCTTATTGGTCAAAGTGCCACGCGACCAGCTTGGGAAGGGGGGCTCCCCGGCGCGTGCCGCTTTTAAAAACGACGAGTCGCTCTGAGACATCAGTAAAGAAATCCTGTTCACCACAGGTGTAAGAAGAGAAATCCTCGGCAACAACCCCGCTCCCATATCCATAGCCACCCACTTTCCTCCAAAAAGCATAAAACAACAAAATGGATGGAATGAGCACGGATACAAGGGAGGTGGTTGAACTCGACGTCCAGCATCCAAGCTTGGGGCGGGGGGAGCAACGCGAGTACCCACCAGCTTTGGCACTCATGGCCAGCAGTGACCCACGCGCCTGGCTGGCTCCCGTGCAGGCTGGCACCTGCGCGGCACACGCCGAATACCTGCTGCATTCGCCCGGCTCGAGCTCGGAAGGCGTGTCCTCTGCTTCCAACTTCAGGAAGAGAAGCAAGAGTCCTGTCAAAGTACGCGAGCTCTGCCGGCTTAAAGGAGCTGTGGGTGCAGATGAGGGCAGACAGCGGGCACCGTCCAGCAAAGCGACCAACGGCGTGCAGAAACAGAGGCGAGTGGCTGCCAATGCCCGGGAGAGGCGAAGGATGCACGGATTGAACCACGCATTTGACGCGCTGCGCAGTGTCATCCCAGCCTTCGATGACGACAAGAAGCTCTCCAAATACGAAACCCTACAGATGGCCCAGATCTACATCAACGCCCTGTCCGACTTGCTTCAGGGCCCCGGTGCTAAAGCCGACCCGCCAAACTGCGACTTGCTGCCTGCCAAGGGGTTCGAGGAGGACGGCTCTCCGAGAGGATCGCCGAGTGCCTGTCGGAGAGGCACAGGCGCGGGTTACCCGTACCAGTACGACGATGGAACATTCGCCTCTTTCATGGAGCAAGAGCTTCAGTCGCCCTCTAGAACGAGCAAGTCCGGTTCGGAGGCCAGCAAGGACTCGCCTCGGTCGAACCGGAGCGACGGAGAGTTCTCCCCTCACTCGCACTTCAGTGACTCTGACGAAGCGCACTTGGAGTTGCAGAGCGAAGACGAGCTCTCGGAACTGAAACTTCCCAAGCACCGCGCTTTTTAGAAAACACACTACTGGACTGACCATCAATCGTGTCAATCGCATACTTGGGCTTTGTAATGGGTTGCTTTATTTATCCATTTGTTGTACGATCTTTTGACAATGATGTTGTTGTGTCTGACGCCAATAGATTTAGTTGCCTTCTCGTGACATTGACCAGACCCCTACGCCATGTGAACTGCCGCGTGCAGCAGTGCCATGGGCTCGAATGTCATGCATAAAACTGTCTTCCGTGAAAGTTTTTGAAACTGTTTATTATTCAGAAATGATTGTCATGGGCCTATTTCGTGGATACGATTGATTTTGAACCCTGTAAGCATTTGCAACTTCTAAAGTTTACGTGCACTTTAAAAACGGGCCATAGGCTTGAGAAACATTCTTTTGTCGTGGAACAAGAAATTGTGTTTATGTAGAAGTAATGCCAATTTGATGAATATATTTAATATAGCCATTAGATTTTGTACATCCGTTCTTTTTAATATTTGATTTCAATGCAAACTTGTGTTCTGCTTCTGTAGCTGAAGTAAGCTATTTATTTTCGTTTGCCTTGTCAATTTTTTGCCTTGCATTGGAATTTTGCTACTCGTATGTTTTGGTTTATTGTAGAAATAAAAAGGCAACTTTAACATGATCATGTCTCTGAGTTATCTCTATCTCTATCTCGGTTATAGGCTACTTCTTATCCAGTTTTTCATCATGTCTCATAACATGTCTAGGCCAATATCTTATTGTTGAAATCATTTCAATATGTACATTGCAACAAAATGTCTTAATGTGTGTTATATTTTACAAATGTTATAATTTATAATTGGAGCACTTTAGTTAGAAATGATGTGACATTTAATCATTACAACTATCAAAACATATAGTGATGAAAATAAACCTTTATTTTAAGTGTAGGCTATATATGTGGCGAGTTCAGTGAAACAAGAAACATGATGGCTCTTTATCAAGTTGGTTATTTTTTCTTTATATATAGCCTATATATATATATATATATATATATTAGGGCTGTGCAAAAGTTAATTGCGATTAATCGCATCCAAAATAAAAGTCTGTTTTACATAATATATTTGAGTGTGCTGTATATAATTATTTTGTATATATAAATACACACACATGCATGTATATGTTTAAGAAAATGTGTTATTCCTATATAAAATATTTATATTTATATAATATAGATTATGTATTTATATATATATACAGAATTTAAGCGCAAATAATTCTTAAATATATACATGCATGCATAGCTATTTATATATACAAAATAATTATATACAGCACACACAAATATATTATGTAAAACAGACTTTTATTTTGGATGCGATTAATCGCAATTAACTTTTGCACAGCCCTAATATATATATATATATATATATATATATGTTTATCAGTTCAGTGTATTGGTTGAGTTCTTTAAAGCACAACAACTTGATTTTAGAACTAGAGAATAAAGTTATTATGGAATTCAAACAGGTTCTTTATGGCATCAGGCTGTGAAACAATTTTGTTTATTATTGGGACCTTTAAATTTAACTGTTATTTAGATACTGTAAAGGTGCAATACCATTTTAGAGCTGTAGCCTACACTTCAACACATTTAATATGCAGTGACACCAAAGGAAAAAAAAAAAACAAATTCAACTGATAATGTCTACTCATAATGTCAGTTCACCTTTCCATTCTTTAGCTTGTTCATTCTAATGTTGGTTTCAAAATGTTTAAAAAATATTTTTTCTTGTGGAATTGTAATCAAGATATTTGTCAAATAAAATTTAAACGTCCTCTTTAAGATAATATCCTAATATCGTTGCGTTTCAGTCGGTTGGTCAACCCGTACTCATGAGAAAAAATTTTAAGATTGCGATTTGGTATTTAAATCCGTATGATTTAATTCGTACGAATCGTAAAAAAAATGTAGGTTAAGCATCAACAACGTGTTTTAATGAGAAAACGTATATCTGTGCGTATCTGTGTATCCGTATTTTGTGCTGTCACTCTAAAACGAACAAAAAATGTCATTTCTATTGTAACATCTTAGTTTCAACGTTAATCTTTTCATTTGCTCAGAGTTTGAAAACACTTCTCTAAAGACGTTTAGCACAAACGTTATACGGTTTTCTTAATGCGAGTGCACATGTATGCCGAAGCTGCCAAATGCCCCCGTGCCAACTGTCAGCTTCTCTACCCTCGAGCCATGACAAACATCATCTATTTGATTTTGCGTGTGAAATGATTTTAATAGTCTTCTTATGCGTAACCACCTTTATTGAAGAAATTGTTTTAACTGTAGCCTAATTGAAGCGTTTATTATTTTATACAAAATTGCTGGCCGACCCGTGGCAAGTGGTGTTGGGTGTCCTCCTGGAAGCACGCGCTGTCAGCTGGTGAGCGCACTGAGTGGAGTCCCACAGGACTTGACTCGAGAGACTATACACTCGCTCAGTGAGTCTGCCACACACGCGCTCACACGCCCGCCAGCACGCACCAAAGTACACATGCTGACGTAGTAGGCGACATACTATACACAATACTACTCCTATAATTATCTTAAAATAAAAGGGGACTTATATAGCCTAATTTTGTTGATGTTGTTGTTTTTATAAAACAAAAATTGCTACAGCATTGTAGCCTAAAAAAAGTTGTTGCCTCAATTTTTAGGCTACAATCAACTTGAAAGTTAGGCTATTTCAAAATGAACCTACATTAAACTGACTTAACAAATTAGTTGAATCTCGTATAATTAATACAAAAGTTAAAAACTGCTTAACTTATTTTGAGAAGTTAAAAGCAATGCAAAAAACATGTAACTTATTGATCATAGCTTCGCTTTGACAGTAGGCTACCTCTAAAATAGGCTACATCGTTTAAAAAACAATGTACACTTTTGAAAATTAACAACATTTATCAATTCATTTATCAATTCAACAATCTCATTTACCTCAAGTGAATTAGGCTATTTTTACAAAAGCTTATTTTGATCCGCTCATTTAAATAAAGTAGCTATAGGGCATGTTGATTCTTTCAACATTATTACACTTATGAGTCACGCACATTGCAAATTGTATAAGTTGACAGTTCCTTTAGGAATAAAAGGGATGCGTCATTTTCAAAAACTTTTTTTTTGTTTTTTTGTCCGTTCCCTTGAAAGACTTCACTGGAATTGCTCACGAATTATTAATGAAAGTGGGCGCTCTCTACTGCTTTTTTGTGTCTCCACCCCTGCGTTTAACCAATGACTTGAGCCATGTGTCTGCGATCCCTATCTAGATTAACATCGAGAATAATAGGGAATATCATGCACACGCTCAGAACGCTAAATTATTCACAGCCTTATCCATAATACCTTTATCTTCAAGTGAACCGCGCAACCATCTGTGCCGTCCTGTATGCGTCCCTCAAACGAAAAAGGGGCTCAAATTTCGCGACCACACGCCTGTAAACTGGGAGTAGCCTAGACTAGATGTTTAACAAACTGGGTAAAAAGTTTATCACCTGCATTTAGCAGGCAAATTTGATATTATTATTCTCAAGCGTAAAACTGTCCCATTTAGCCCGTTTCTATTCCCCTCGTTACACAACGGCGTACGGTATACGACGGAGACTGTCTGATTATTTCTTAAAGTATGTGCGCATAGTTACAAGTTACAGGACTGTCAGGTTCAGACGTGCTGAACTAAGCTTTCACCATAGCTATGTACAGCCTGCTCAACACACTGGAAAAAGCTCTGAAAATGATTACCTTGGAACATGTCACTTGTAAATTATAAAATAGTTCTGCTTTTAAAGGTCTCTGCAGTTATATTGTTAGTTTTATGAAGTAGTGCTCCTTTAAGAAACTTAGCCTATATGCACAGACCTGACAGGTTCACTGAATGAGGATTCATTCAGTGAAATGAGGATAAAATGAAGGTAGAGGATAGCTCTTTTAATGTCTACTTTATATTACTCTATTATGCATATTGGCTAATGTTTGTCAGTTATTAAATTTGACACACAAACTTGTACCTTCAGGTCTCACGAAGGCAATTTTGTAGCCTTATAACACCTTTTTTATCTGACAAACTATCGTCCAGTATTCTCGTTTTTTTTTTTTTTTTTTTTTAAAATGATGCAGATTTATGTGTGACTTGCGTTTTGCGGAAAACCTTTGTCCTTATATCTATATAAAATGTAGAAAACAACTCTGTTTGTATGGCTCTACTAGCCTATACAACGCGTTCTCATCCCAAAGCGCCATATAGGACGCTTTTGCAAAAGCGTAAATATCCAACGCACATGGCACCCTTTAACGTCTAATGAGACGCTTCGGTTATGGTTAAGTTTAGGTAAGGTGTTTTTTTTTTTTTTTTTTTTTTAACCGATTAGAATTAGCCTACATCAGCAATCAGCCCTATTGTGGTGTGGAAGAGAAAGGTGATAATTTTGGTGCATTTGGTCAATTGTTTTACAGTAATTCAGAAATAATTGGTAAAAATGGAAAATACTGTTATGTTACAGAAACGAAATGGTTGTGGACCCAAATGGATCCAACATCTATTTACATTTGTCGAGTCTTGAGTAAATACTTGCTGTATAACTGTCAGTTGACCCATCGCGTGCCCATACCACAGCATCGGTGACACCAACGTCTTTTTTTTTTTTTTCGTTTTACTCGTGGAGTATTCCTGACAACAGCTGGGAGCCTGTCAGAGTTGAGGTTTCACATCTCATTAAATATTAAGATAGAGCGTTGAAAAACATAAACAAATAGGCCTACCTTCATTTTTTGTGCAATGCGCAGGCGCATAATCTGAGAGTATCGCGCGCAATGGTCCTGTTGCTTTTCAACTGCATTTATTAAACATAGTAACCAAAAAAAAACAAAAAACATTTGGGCTAATGCTATATGGCAACACAATGTTTCTTATTTGATACGCGGTTAACATGTTATGTAGACAGAAAAGACTGGATCTTTCTCAACTTCATGGTCTCTAACCCGCTGCATACAGGTGGACTGTTTTTGTTTGACAATTACAGATAATGTAGGAAGAACATATTGAAGTGACTTGTCAGCTCCTTGCACTTTAATTCTATTGCACTTTATTTCCCCCTATGTGGTTGTGAGGTGCTGGGGAATAGTTTGCTTTTACTCTTAAATCAACCTTCTCTTCATTCAGTGCTAGATAGATATTTCAGAACATAATGCACACTGAACTGGTAAAGTGTTAAAAAGTGAGTACAACAATGTAAACTTGTAAACTGCAAGCCGAGCACATGCTCATTCCTATGCTAGTTGAAAAGTGTGGTTCCTAAAGTTCATTGGAGATAAGGGGAGTGGGAGGAGCCAAGGAAAGGGCCCCGGACTCTCTGGGGACATTGGAACAAAAGCTAAAACTGGGCCGTACTCTCCATCTGCTTGGAGACTGTAGCAACAACCAGAGCAAGATAGAAAAAGAGAGAAGAGGGCATGTGGGGGTGAGGTGAAAAAGGCATTCAAAAGAGAGGAAAAAAGACAACTTTAATGCAAGTGCAGAGAGGGAATAAGAAATGGAGAAAAGATTCACTGTAACATGTTGCAGTGAGAATATGTAAGCACTGATCTGACTTTTGCCAGCCAGGTAACTGTTAAATAAAATATTAACATCA